CACAGAAAAAGGAATCAGTATGAGCTCTGCAGTTGTGTGTAGAAGTGTCTTTTATTTCTGGTCTAGAACCCAAGTCTCTTCCTAGGTGTGTTTTGATGTTTCACACTGAATCATGTTCTCTGTGCTAGCTGCACCTGTCTTTTTCCATAATTCACTCTATTATAATTGTATCCATGAGATGCAATCCATATGGATGAGTAGATAATGAGTTCTTCTGTGGCCAACAGTTAATTTCACACACTTTAAAAAGTGTTTCTGCACCTGCACCTGAGTTGGAGATTTCCCCAAGAACTGATTTAGTGACTACTTTATCATCTGTGCCTATTGATGGTTAGAGAGATGGGTTACTAAGCAGGACCCAACCACTTTATTTTGCTTTATTTTATTTTATTTCATATTAAGGACCAAAAATTTACAGATTGATGGGGAGGTGTTTCATGGCTCATGATTGATAGGAAAGCATGCCCTGACCCATGTTAACTATAATTCTAACATGACTTGGGAGATCTCAAATAAAAGCAAAATCTATTTTCTAATCGTTTAATGGAAAAAATCCAAATATTCCTTAAAAAACTGTAGTACAATTTAGAATTTTACTTTATTTGGAGTATGTAACAAAGCTTTACAGAGTATTTCAGGGCATGGATTATTTTACATATATATTCTGTAATAATAATCACCATCAAATTACTTATCATACCCATCACCAATCATACTATATATTTGATTTCCAGAACTTGTTTAACTGAAAAAATTTTTATACTTTGCTAAACATCACCCCATTTACCCAACCCCAAGCATCTTTTCCTTTGTACTCTCTGTTCCCCTGAGTTTTTAACATGTAAAACTTTCACAGATAGTGAAATAATGTGGTATTTGTCTTTCTGTACTGGATTTATCTCATCTAGCATACTTCCCATGTTCACTTATGTTGTCACAAATATAGTTTTCTATTTTCTTACGGATGAATGATATGATATGTATATGTGTATGATGTATATGTACGTGTCAATGTATATGATATGCCAGGTTTTCTTTATTTGTCCGTTGATGGACACAGGTTGTTTCCACACCTTTGCTAATGTGACTGTTTTAATTAACATGCGAGTCATTTGCTTTAGGCATTTATCTATGTAAAACTGTAACATAATAAGAAATGTGTATTTGATTGATGCTCTTGGATCCTACCACACAGTTTCTAAAACCCTTGGAATCACTATAGTATTGAGCATCTTTCATATGTTAATAATGTACTTGGTGAATAGATATCCTGGTAGTTTTCTCAGGATGAATGAGGGCTGGTCACCAGAAAGACAGTATTAGAAAATTAAGAAAGCACACTCCCAAACTCTGGGTTATTAAAAGGAGTGAAAGTTGAGTTGGTACCAATGACCAATGAATTACTCAACTGTACCTATGTGATAAAGCCTCCAGAAAACAAGAAAAATGCAGAGTTCACAATTTTTCCAGATTTAGGAACATGTGTAGTTTCTTAGAGGGTTCCATACTGAAGAGAGGGCATGAAAGTTATACATTCTCTTCTTTATATCTTATTATACCTTCTCTGTACCATACATCTCTTCCATCTCAGTGCTCACCTATATAATCTGCGATATTTACAATAAATGAGTAAACATATGTAAGGTGCTTATCTGAGTTCTGTGAGCCACAATAGCAAATAACACAAACTGAAAAGAGTGAGAACTCAATTGAAAGTTGGTCTGTCAGATTTATAGGTGATAAACTTATACTCAATATCTAAAGTGGAAAAGATTTGTGAACCTTAGCCATCAGATCTGATACTAACTCAGGTAGATACTATCAGTATTAAACTGAATTATAGGATTCTCTGTTGGTGTCCACTGAAGGATTCCATGATACATAGCAGGAAATACATCTTCTCACAAAAGTGTTTAGTGTTGACAGTGAGAATACAAGAGAAAAAGTTGGTACTTTCCCCTCACAACCCAGATGTGGAATAGTAATTATAAGTTTTTAAGGAACTTCCATTTGTTATTATGGGAGGGTTATACCAATCTACAGCACTGCCAGGAAGATACATAGATTCTCATTTCTCCAAAATCTTGCCAAAAGTCACCTTTCCTTTTTTTTTAATAATAGTAGTCCTAACAGGTATAAAGTGATATTGCAATATGCTTTTGAGTTGTATTTCTCTGATATTGATATTGTATAAATTTTAATATATATTTTGTTCATTTTTATTTCATCTTTTATCTATTCAGATTCTTCTCTCACTTTTGAAACTGGGTTATTTCCATTTTATTTTGGTTTTCTGGGTTTGGCTTTTGGTGGGGGTTTTTTGGGTTTGGTTTAGTGGTTTGCTTCATTGTTTTTATTGTTTTTTTGTTTGCAGTTGTGTGAGTTCTTTATATATTTCATTACCAGACAAATGTTTTAAAACTAAAATCTTGACATACTTCATTATTGTGGTTTCAAAAGTTGAAACAAGTGTTCCGAGCAAAAAGTATGGGTAAATATGAAAGATTTAAAACAGTGGAAAAGGACGTGAAAACATGGAGTAGCAAAAAATTAGCATATGATAGGTGAACACAGAGATGAGGAGATGTATACACAACTTTCTGCTTCTTGCAGAAACAACAGAGCAATTAGTCTTAGCTAGGTCCTGCAATTTATCTCTCCCATCACTTAATGTATTTTACATACTACCAATAGTTCATGCCATTAAAGAAAAACAATTTTAAAAAATAAAGAAAAAATTGTTAAAAGAGAAGATGACAGTATGCAATATAGCAAACATGGGAGATTTCCTTCTATCTTGTCTTGGATGGCCAATACTGATTTCACTGTTTTTGCTTTGTTCTGATTGTTTTATTCAATATGCTGTTTTGATTGGTTTCATTGTGTTTTGCTTTTGGTTTGATTTTGCTATTCTTGATGAAATGGACAACTATTGTGCCAATAACAAGGTATATTGTGATAGCTATTATTGTTTTCCCGGCATCCTGCTCTGAAGTTCTGTACCAATTTTGCTGTATTGTCTTGATTGGCTTTGTTCGGTCTTGTTTTGTTGTATTTTACTATCTTTAAAATAAAAAAAAAATTAATGTGTCAGATACACAATGGAATATTATTTAACCATTAAAACTAAGACAGTATTATAATTTTAAGCAAGCTGGATGCACCTACAGGGCGTTATATTAAGTAAAAAAACCAGGCACAGAAAGTCAAATACTACATGCCATCATTTATGTGTGGAATCTAGAAATTTCTAAATTAAAAAGATTAGAAGATATAATGGTTCCCAACTAGACGGGGTGATTTTATGAAAGACTATAAAGCTTTTTAGACAGGAAAAGTAAGTGCAAGACATCTGTTGTACAACCATTTACACTTTGGATAACAGTTTGTTATGTTCTTGAAAATTGTTAATAGATTGTTAAGTGTTCTTACCACAAAAAAAACATGATAAACAATGTGAAGTAATACATGTTCATTAATACAATTTAGCCATTCATCCATCTGTACAAAATTTAAAAACAAGATGTACATAAATTATATGTATTTTATGTCTATTTTAAATAAAATGCAAAAATTAAAATTATAGAATCATACAAGAAGACAGAAAGGTCATCGTTCACCAAGCTTGAAAAGAATTACTATTGATACTTCAGCTTACAAATATTCATTATTTTTAACTAGATCAAATATTTTTGTTTATTCCCTCCTTTGTCACTTTTTAATCTATCTGCATATTATTTATTATTCAGTAAGAGCTAAACCATATGTATGTAATTTCACATCATATGATCATAACATAATTTACTTATTTCACAGTTATTTTGCCACCAGCCAGACACTGATATAAATATAGGAAAGAAAAGGGTATAGAAAATCGTCCTGAAGTGAATAAATATAAGATAGAGGTTCACTGGCATTGATATTCTGTATGAATAAAAATCAAAAAATGATTAAGAATCCAGGTTGTAGGGCCAGACTGCCTGGGTTCAAGTTCAAACTTACCATTTACTCATCTTTGATGTTATTTGACCTCTAACACCATGCTTTCTCTGTTTGCATACTGTATCTCCTTTTTTATTTTTCTGCTTTTTATTATGTCAACCACTTATCTCTAAGTATTAATTAATTTCTAGATTTGTGATCATTTATACATTCTAATTTATATATCTTGCTTCTGTACTTTTTTCCATAGAAGAAGACTGTTGCTTAATTTTTGGTCACATAGATTGGGTATTGACAAATGTTTTGTAAAGGGCTAGATATTTTGCCTTTGTAGTCTGTATGGCTTTGTTGAAACCACTAAATTTTGCTGTTGTAATATAAGAACAGCCAAAGACAAAATAAAAATGAATATATATATATATATATATATATATATATATATATGGCTAGGATTCAGCCAAAACTTATTTATAGAAAGAGCAGCAGGCTGGATTTGATCCACTCATGATCATCAACTAAACCCTAAAGTAATTGTGCCTTGAAGATAGATTTATTTATTCTCCCAAACATCAATCTTTGTTTTACAGCAAGAGTCTAAAATGAAAAGCAGTATATTATGACACAACATCGGCAGCTAAAATGGAGATTCGGATTCTAGTATCATCAAGTAACATGTTAGTCCATCTTACAACAATCCTATAATTATAATTAATATATTATGTAATTAAAATTATAATATATTTTAATTATATAATATACAATATATGTATTTTAAGAGAAATTATAGAACAATACAGCTTAAGCCAATTTATCTTCATAAAGTTATTTACACAATATGTGTGAAAACTATCATTGGCACTGTTCTTTGGGAATTAAAATATAGAATTAAGATAATCTTATTTTCAAGTTAGCATTTTTTTAAAATTGCACTTTCTTTTCATAAAAGAATATCACCCATTCTTCCAAAGGGAAAAAATAGATATCCAATGGATGATGAATGTCTGTAATCACTCCAAATGATGCCAAGTAGAAAGTCCCTTTGTCAAGTGGATTGGTCATTATGATTTCCAGGAGTCACTTAGACTAGATTCTGTCTTCCCATCAAGCCAGAATTTTCTAACACCCAAGAGCTGCTTCAACAACTTTCTCATTGCTTCCTTCATTTCTTTATTCCGGAATGTGTAAATGACTGGATTTAGGAAAGGAGTCAAAACTGCATTAAACAAGGCTAGAAATTTGTCCATGTGTGTTGATGGAGAAGGCCACATATAGAAAAAAATAAGTGGACCAAAGAATAAAACCACTACAGTAATATGAGCAGACAAAGTGGAAACAGTCTTGCGTGAACCTCCTAAGGAATGTTTTTGAAGAGTGCCCAGGAGGAAGAAGTAAGAGAGCAGGAGCAAGAAAAATGCACTCAAGGAAATGAATCCACTGTTAGCAGTTACCATGAATTCCAGCTTATAAGTATCTGTGCAAGCAAGTTTGATGAGCCGAGGTATGTCACAATAAAAGCTGTCCAACACATTAGGGCCACAGAAGGGCAAGTTTACTACAAAAGTCAACTGGGCTGATGAATGAATGAGACCAATGGCCCAGGCACCCACTAAAATAACAATGCACATCCATGGGCTCATGATAGTCAAGTAGTGCAGAGGCTTACATATAGCCACATACCTGTCAAAGGCCATGGCTGTGAGCAGCACCATCTCTGTGCCTCCAACAGCATGGCTAAAGAAGATCTGAGCTATGCAACCCCCAAAGGAGATGACTTTCTGCTTCCTAAAAAGATCACTAATCATTTTTGGTGCTGCAATGGAGCAAAATATTAGATCAATGACCGAGAGATTGGCCAGCAGGAAATACATGGGAGAACGCAAGGAAGGGGCAGAGATTACAGTGATGACTATGAGGAAATTTCCTACCAAACTGGATAAATAAAAAAGACAAGAAAAGAAAAAAAGAAAAATCTGAATCTCCAAGGAATTGGAAAGTCCCAAGAGTACAAACTGAGATACTACAGAGTGGTTTGTTCCATTCATTCGCTCTTTTGCTAAGTTTAATTTCATATCACATAAGCAGAAAAATGAAACAACTCAAATTAATCAGACTGTACTAATAAACTCTATGGAAAAGTATATAAATTATGGAGCTAAATATTACCTGAACATTTCAAAGAATCCAAATGACTTTCTGTTGTCCATTAGTGCTGTTACTATATATGATAGTAAATTAATTTCCTGATGTCTTAGTGTCCCAAGGGATGATGGGAGACCTAGAGGGCTGATACACATGGTGCACCTGATAAAACACAAGCAATGAGTACTGGTATTAATTCACGGTTAGGGGGATCAGTGTTAACCATCTCACCCCTGCAGGAGTAATAACCCAGTCGCATACTCCCAACAGACAGAGAACTACTGTGTGATAGAGATTTGTATGACTCTGTGACTTTGTTTTGATGCTCATGTGAGAAATTATCTTTTACTCTTTGCACTTCTCCAGATAAATCTCATGTTCAACTTGAATGGCACATCTTCTGTCACTACTCATGACCTGCATACACATTTAATTTATTTACTTGTTCATATTTATTTCTCCTTTACAATTAAAAACTGACTATAAAATATAATTCCTTTAAACATTTATTCCCCTGGTTTTCTTATACACTATCTTGCAAATAATAACTGATCAGAAAAAGATTTTTGAGTGATTGGAATGACATAGTTGCTATCCATTAATTCATTATATTTTGTGCCATGAACTAGTCTAGACATTAGGAACATGTCCAAAGCAAAAAAGGGGAAAGTTTATATTCTCACAGATTTACATTTTGACAGAGAGAGAGAGACAGGCAGATTATTACAAAATATGTACATAAAACAATATGCTAGCCAGGAAAATGCTATGAGTTGAAGCTCAGGCTCAACTATATAATGAAACCCTGTCAGTAAATATATAAATGAAACAAAAAGTGCTAATTAATAGTTTTGTTACAGGGAAAGACTAAGCAAGGAAAAATAAGACAGTACTGAGAGTGTTGTTACACAGTAGGATCATCAGCATAGTTCTTGTGGAACATCTGACTGAGCAGAATTCTAAGAACATGAATAAAACAGTCATTAAGCTGTTTGAGGAAGGCATGCTCCAACTAGTGGTGAAATCAGGAGCCAAAACCTGAGGTGTGAGATGACATGGGGTGTCTGAAGAACTACAAAAAGGTTAAAGAGGCTTAGCCTTAGTGTGCAAGGAAGTAGTTTATAGCAGATGACATTTAGAAAGTAACAGGAACACAGATCACTGATATGGTTCTTTTAAACGACTGGTTATTACTCTCAGTGAACTAACAAGAAATTGAATTTTGAATAGAAAAATAACAGAGTCAACCTTACATTGTTAAAAAATCACTCTACTGCATTGTGAATGCACTTCATAATCCCAAACACTAAAGCAGAAAGATGGATTATAAACATTTGTTTTATCTTGAAGAAATAGTACTGTAAGAAAAGATACTGGCTTAGAATACAGTGTCAGAAATAGAGATAGAGAAGCCATTATCATAGAGCATGGTGGTGTATACTGAGACGATACTTGGTGAAATTTGTGGTGTTATTTATAATGGCCTTTTGGAGACTGTGAAGCACTTCATTTTATTGAAAAATTTTCATGTGAAAATAAAAAAGACACCAAATCTACAAAAATATTCATTATATGGATGAGTAAATACACATTCAATCACCAAATCTAATAGACTCTAGAAAAAAGATAATGAAAGAAAATCTGAGAGATAAAAGCATATCTCAGTGGTAGAGGATGTTGCTAATATGCACAAGGCCCCAAGTTCAATTCCAAGTAGCACACACCAAAAAAAAAAAAAAAAAAAACAAAGGAAAAAAAGAAGGGAATCTGAGGCGAATAAAACAAAGTAATCCCTTACCCAGCAAATAGAATGCTATAAGACTCAAACACAAATAATGAAACAAGCAAATAGTATTGTTAGAAATTTTAAAGTTGGAAATAACAAAGTATTTGTCACTTATTATACCATATTCTAAATGAAATTTAAAATTGGTTGTTTCTCTATTTGAAAAACTATTTTGTTTTCATATCAATTACACTGAACTCTGTAAACATGTTTTCCTAAGTAAAATTGTTTCTGAATCCAAGAAAGCAATAATAATCTTTCTTCTGGTCACTTAAACTCAGTAGTATCAGAATCTTTTAAAAGTTAACAAATAGACTATAAAGTAGAATGAAATTATCAATCTCAAAAAATTTATAAGGACAAATAACAGGCAAAAATTAGGCAAACAAAACATTCTACATCTAATCAGAAAATGTCATCAATGTGGCTGTCTTATTCTCAGATAGATTTAATTCAATATAATTCATTTTAAGTATTGCCAAACATTTCTGTGAAAAAACTATTAGAACCTGGTGTTTAAAAAACAAGTATATAAGTAATCACTATTGATTAAATGAATTAAAAGTATATTTTTAAAAAGCAGAAATGTAAGTAAACAAAAGAAAAATTCACTTCACTGAATTGATTAAAATTTTTGGTCCTTCACATCTTGTACTACACATTAGCTCATTTTCAATAATTAATATTTAATGATTTGGTAAACAGTTTTTCTACTAAATAAACTGTGAAGGTCATTTCAGTAGAAACTAAATGGAAAGGAAGACATCCATTAAATCTACTCAGCTATTCAGCTGAATTTACCTGGATTAAAATCTATAGAATTTACATGAATTAAGATCATAGGAAATAACTAAAGTTACTGTAGACCAAAACAAGTCAACCATGAGTTAATAATAAAAATTTTCCTGTCACGTATCTTTTGTGATTGAACTACCTTACAGTAGTATATTAGTAGTGACTGGAGGTAGAGATGAAATATACAATACATCAAATTTCAGTATTTTGTTCTTTGGTACTTTCATTACTATGCTTTTCTTTTCTTTATTTGTTTCTTTTTCTTAATTAAAGCCCATTAAAGTTATAAAACAAGACTTTTTAACATTTTCTCTATGAATACAATAATTTGCTTTATGTATTCACATGAATTTGGTCAGTTTCCAAGAATACAGTCTTACGCATTCTAAGGTTCATAGTGGAAGAAAGTAGAAAAAATGAGCACCATGCTAATAAAGTCATAGATAAAAATACTGTTGATATGTATACAGAGAACTTCTGGACCAGTCCATACCAGTGGCATATCTAAGTTATCTAACATATACTACTTGGAATTTATTGTCTTCTCTGGCCTTTTTTGTGCATTAACATTCCAATCATCCAAAACCTCTACTCTGCTACAAGTTAAATTTCTTCATATTTGTTTAAGTCTACCCCATTTGTTCTCTGAAAAAGTAAAAACTGAGTTATCAGAAACTCTGTTACTAAATCTTCACTGTACTTGTATGACTTAATCCAATTAAGTTACCTCATCCTTGTTTTTTCCCTATTAAAGTTAATTTTCATGCCTGTGGATTCCAGAATTTGCTCTTTTCTCCAAAATTTATCCACTTCTACTTTACATTGTTGTGCTCAAATTTAGAGAGAAAAAATAAATCAAATATATGCCTAATAAACATAGATCACAACAAAATAATTAATTGCCTGATAATATCACTCTGCTGGTTTTCTCCCTCATGTTGAAATGATGCTGCTGTAAATAGGCACACAGATAAGCCAGCTGGGCTTTAGCAGTCTTTCTCCTCATTCTGTGTGTATCATTTGAGTATGTCTCTCCCCTTTTTAACTTTTTCTGAAGAATAGAATGAAAACAGAGCAAGTAAGCCTTGCTTTTAACTTCTGTAGGTTATTAATTTGCCTTCACCCTATTAAAGTGATTATTGAGATGCAAATAAAGAAATCATCATTTGAATTCCCAAGTCCCTTACCTATTCTAATGACATCATATTGAGCTGACCTAGATTTTTCCTCACAACTTTAATTTCAGCCTTGAAACCCAAGACAGAATTTTATGTGAGAAAAAAGTAAAACTCAGTGATTTGCCCTTCTTCATTATCTACAGCCCTTTATGTACTGTTTCACTATTCACTGTAACCTAGCAGACCACAACTAAAACTGTGATTGATATCTGCAAAAGGAGATTATGCTACTAAACTACTTTTATGAAAACAAATTTAGTAGTTCAAATTCAAAGTTTTCTTGTTGTTACCTTTGTTTCCCAACTTGTTTCCAGACCACAGTATTTTCGGATAATTGGATTCCCTTGGCAATTAAACTTCACCTTGCATGACTGCTGTTTTAAAACAAAAGCTGAAAGAATCAAACCAGTGGTTGATTAGCAGGACAGAAAAATAATGACCAGTAAGTATCTCAGTAACTTACTAACTTTGATCAACCAGAACCCAAATGGTTTGATGAAGAAAACTCTCATTTGAAGAGGAAATGAAGAGGAAATGAAGATGCAGTTTAATGTTTGAAGAATATTGAATTTGGAGACTTATCTGTCCCTTGTTCACTGATGGTTTAAAATGAGACAGAATATCTAGGAAATCTGAACACTGTCAAAACCATGTCAATATCAGTTTAAGTACATGTTAGGCAGAAAAGATAGGAAAAAATACTTAAATTTTTTTGTATGAAAAAATAATTTATGCATGACCTTCGAAATGACACCAGAACCTTTTAAACACAAAAAATCTACTAAATTGTAAGCCATTGAAATCAAGATGTGACTGCTTCAACCCATTTTTTCACCCATATGCCAGACCCTGCCCAAAGAGTTAGAAGCCTCACACCAATACGTATATATATACAAGGCACTCAATCCATTGTGACTAATATCTCTACTAAAGACATTATCTGTGATTTTAGTCAGTGCATCAGTAAGAACACAGGGGGGAAAAAGCACCCTTAAGTCTACCTGTGAGGATTTGGGAAGATCTCTCAGAAGAAGTAGTATCTGATAAGAACTTAAATGTTACAAACAGGGATGAAGACTGGAACATTTAATTTCAAAAATGAGGTAATGATGTGTGGAATAAAGAATACAATGTTTGGAATATT